AGTGTTCTCTTGTTCGTTGCTGCAGGGATAGTGATGTGTAAGTAGCAGGTGTTAGAACACATCAAACTTAGTTCCTTTTTCTTTTCACGGAAAAACAAAAGTGAATAGCTGAAGAGCAGCAGTTTTCAACTGGTATGTCATAAGAATTTTAAAAACATGAAATATCTGACCATTTAGTCACAAGAATTTTAAAAACATGCAGTATCTGACCTCTTTTTCCCTTAGATTGTCAAATAAAAAAAAATGACAACAGCCAAAATAACAGTAGCTGTCTGGTGAGTGGGATGTTTATGTGCAGGCAGCACTTACCTCCCTCTCTCCCAGGGGCAAGTGGGTAGAGGGTCCTAGATGGGTGGGGTGATGGGCTGGTAGACCTTTCTAACTTGGGACGATGACCTTTATTTTAGTTCAGCATAAACCCGTCTGAAAAGAAAATTCTCAAGATGGTTGGCAGAATGGCACCTTTGCTACCAAGGAAATCTTTCCTCAGAAAATAGATTCTGGCAGCAGAATTTTGAATGTCCTGTTTGAAATAGGCCATTATTGGCATTGATTTTCTTTCTTTTTCAAAAGATATATTTTATTGAGTTTTTACAGAAAGGAAGAGAGAGGGATAGAGAGCCAGAAACATCGGTGAGAGAGAAATATCGGTCAGCTGCCTCTTGCACACCCCCCCACTGGGGATGCGCCAGCAATCAAGGCACATGTCCTTGACCGGAATCGAACCTGGGACCTTTCAGTCCGCAGGCCGACGCTCTATCCACTGAGCCAAACCAGTTTCGGCTGGCATTGATTTTCTTATGGCCATTGGGCTACATTGCATGGAAATGAGTTTATGCAAGAATTGCCAAATGGCAGGGACCTCTGCTTGATTAGTGTCCTGCTGTCATCATCTTAGCAGATGTCTCCCTTCTTGCCAGGGACAGTTTTTAGTAGCTCGGTTAACAGTTGTTTACAGTGACAGAGTGCCGAGTGACACCACACTTGAGCAGATGGGAGACCAGCAACTGCTGCTTTCCAGGTGCAGACTTGGGAAAGGGCTTGGAGGAAGATAGTCAAGCATCAGTGAAAACAGCTGTTTTTAAGCTGTCGGAGACCAGGGAAAGGGAAAATCAGGCCATTTGTTAACATGAAACCTGTCCAGCACTGGCCGCCATGCTCAGTGGTTAGAGCGTCGGCCAGAATGAAGGGTCTTGGGTTCACTCCCGGGCCTGATGTGGCTCGATAGGAGGCAACCAATTGATCTGTCTCTCTTACATTGATCTGTCTCTCTCTCCTTCTCCCTCCCTCTCTCCCTCCTTTCTTCCTTTCCTCCCTCCCTCCCTCTCTCCCTTCTGTCTCCCTCTCTCCCTTCTATCTCCCTCTTCCCCTCTTCCCCTCCTTCCCCTCTCTTCCTAACACACTCTTTCAATGGAAAAAATATCCTTGGGTGAGGATTAACAATAACAACAAAAACATAAAACCTGTCTAGCGTGTAGAACATTTATTTGTCTCCCCACTCCCACCCCTGGAATGGACAGGTTCTTCCTGCAGTGATCTCTGTTGAATCTGTTACGTTATGATTAGTTTTGTGTTATAAATCACCTCAGAACCCCATGACCTAAAACAATGATGAGTTAGTATTGCTCATGACTGCTCAGTTTGACTGGAGGTTTTTCTGCATGTCTGCTTAGATTCACTCATGTACCTGTGGTCAGCTAGAGTTGCTGGCCTGGGCTCTGCAGGGACAGCTAGGAAGCGGGCTGTCTTTCTCCATGTCTGCAATGGGCCTGGGTGTGTGGCTAGTGCCTTGGTTCTCAAAGTGTGGTACCCAGGCGACCAGCAGCTGTATCACCTGGACACTCTGGTTCTTGAGCCCCACACCGAATTCACTGAGTCAGGAATTCCTGGATGGGGCCAGGCAACCTGTGTTCTAACAATCCCTCCAACTGATTCGGATGCTCCTGAGTATTCAGGCTCTCCTTACCCTACTGTTCCCTCCTTCCAGGCTCTCTGAATTAGGATCCTGTTTGTGTCAGTGTAAGAGGGGGTGTCTTACTGGTCACAGGACATTTGTTGACCATCAGTTATTATGCCCATGAACTTTGGTATCGAGGTAAGACACAGTCTTTGAACACCCTCAGCTTATAGTCCAGCACAGGTGTAGGGTGCTGTGGAGGTCGGTCAGTTCAGCCGGGGAAATAATGAATTCACTTGTTATATATTGAGCTTGCTGTGTCCTGGTAGAAAGAGAGATCTAGCAAGTAATTGATTCTAGGAGTTAAAACACAAAAGGCAAGGCTGGAGTTAGCAATTTGAAAGTCCCCATGCAGGCAATAATTTAAAACCAGTTTCCTCAAATATGGTTATTTATTGGAATCAATGGGGGGGTGTCTTTAAAAAATGTGGACTATGCACTCCCCACCCGCGTGTGTGAGTGTTTGGGGTCTGTAAGTGTCCTAGGTGTTTCTTAGCCAGGTTTGGGGAACACGGTCCTAAACCACGAAACTATAAAACCTGGGGAGGAGAGAAAGAATAGGAGGCTAAGTCTGGGACTTGGGGGGACTGCCTGTGATTAGGCGCTGATATAGGTAGTATGTATAGGAAGACTCTTCTGGAACTAGGGGGCCCGGAAGAAGATGAGTGGAGAGCAGGGTTGTAGACGCCAAGGGATTGGCAAGATACGAGGGGAGGGAGTTTGAGGAGGATTAGATGCACAGCGCTGCATCATCCGTGCCAGAGCTGGAGCCAGGCTGCAGTGGTGACCAGTGAGGGGTGGGCACCGGACGGAAGGCAACCAGTGAAGCAGGGAAGGGGTGTGTGTGTGTGTTTGTGTGTGTGTGTGTGTGTGTGTGTGTTTAAATGAGAAACCTGAGCATGCTGCCCAAGGCAGAGAGGCAGTAGAGAGAAATCAGTGCAAGAGGGTTATTAATGAACTCACATCCCGGAGGAGAGAAGGATGGATGCAAAGGCTCAGCTTTTAGGATTGGCCCTGAAGAAAAGGAGAGCCACCCTCTCTCATCCTGGGGGGAAGGAGGTAAGAGAAAGTGTATGAAAACAGGAGAGTTTGTAGCTGCTGAAAATGTCTTGTGTCTCTTTTCCCTGGCAACTCCAGGGTGCATTTTCCCCTTATTTTGTTCGTTTTTACTGATAGGATTCGTCTGTTTTGTGAGCTTTTACGTTGACCTGAGTGCAGTCTCAAATAGGCCCTCTTTGGTGTTAATGAGGCCACCCTTGGCTGTGGCACCCAGGACTTCCATATTAGAAATGGGCTGGTTGTAAAGTGCTGGTTGGGACTCCTGTGTGTGTGTGTGTGTGTGTGTGTGTGTGTGTGTGTGTGTGTGTGTGTGTCCCGGAAAGCAAGTTAATGGTTAGTGCCTAGTTAAACCCACAAAGCTCATTTAACTCAGAATGCTGCCGGTAATTGCTGTAATGCTGTGTCTGTGAGCCCCATATGTTTATCCATCTATGGACCTCTCCTCTTCCTATGTCTTTTATTCTTTCTCCTTTCAACCCTTCTTTCCTTCTCTTACTCCTTTTCCCACATTATCACAGTTTCCTTGAAGGAGTAATAGGCTTTGAGGATTGGCCTGGCGTCCTCTTGCTTATATGCAGTGTTTCTGAGGGAAGGTGTATCTGTCTGTAGGGTTGGTGGCTCCCAAAGTCCTTTCTCACTCTGGGGCTGTGGATCAGTGCGTTGGCATTTGGGGCTGGGTATTTCCTCATGGTGAGCTGTGCAGCATCCCTCAGCTCTTCTGGCTCAAGGCCAGTATTGCCCCTCAGTTTGTGACAGACACCCTCTCATATATTTCTACATGGCCTCCCCCAAACCGCGTGTTGTCGTCCTTGGACATGGGCACTGTGTGTGGGTTTTCAGTTAACCAGGTTGGTGGGTAAGAGCTTTTAGAAGGTATTCAAGGACATGATGTTTACATGACAAAGGAAAACAGGTTGCTTTTTGTTTTCCTGGGATCTGGTTAAAATACTTAGGCCATTACAGTAGCTGACAGTGAAGGTTTGTGACACAGTATTTGTTGGACTTTAAAATCATGCTTATTACATCATATAGCTATTTAGCCTATATTTTAGTATATAGCAGTGGTTCCCAACCTCTTTTTGGCCATGCCCCACCTAAGCATCTCTAAAATGTTGGTGTCCCCTTCCTCTCCCCCGTGACATATAATTCTTATTATTCAAAAAGTAAACACCTATTAACATGGAGGAAGCCTAAAAGGCCATTAACTTGGTCTAAACAAGCTTCCAAAGAACATGGCATCCATTAAAGAGATAAGGAATGAAAGAACAGTTGAAGCACTGAGGGAAGAAATAACTAAGAAATTATTAAAAAATAATAATATGAAGTGATAATATGAAGTGATAAGTTTCAAAATATATAATAGAGAACTGAAATGCATAGATGTCACAATATATATTTATATATTGTTTATGAGGCCCCTAGAACCAGCCAGGTTTGGGGAACACGGTTCTAAACCATCAAACTCTATGATAAGCTGGGGAGGAGAGCAAAAAATGCAAAAAATTCACTGTTAATAACTCATTCTTAAATTGCCCCCCTTAAAAATCAAATCCCTCACCCCCCAATGGGGCATGCGTCCCATGTTAGGAACCACTGGTATATAGCAACCTGAATTTAGACAATTTGGGAGAAGGGAGAAAGTGGAATTTTTGCTTAGACAAGAGTGATTTTTCAATCTATATATAGTCAAATAAGATTTTTATTTACTTTATACAAGTGCTGGAGCCTTTCCCAGCTTTTCTAATCTGTGTTTTTGTTTATTTACACGCTTGCTCTGCTTATAGCTTAATGCACATACCTAAGGGAGACTTGCAAATCTTTTAAGTCCTAAATTGAAGAATTGTGGTCACAACCAGCCTAGTCCTTAAATGAGGACGATGGGTCAGTCCTTGAAAGACTGTGGTCTGAGTGTTACAAATAAGTACAAGGAAAAAGCAGTCCCAGTGCTGTGAGTCTTTGATGTTTCCCTTTCTTTTTCCTACAGAACCTAAAAGCAGATCCAGAAGAGCTTTTTACAAAGCTAGAGAAAATTGGAAAGGGCTCTTTCGGTGAGGTGTTCAAAGGCATTGACAATCGGACTCAGAAAGTGGTTGCCATAAAAATCATTGATCTGGAAGAAGCTGAAGATGAGATAGAGGACATTCAACAGGAAATCACAGTGCTGAGTCAGTGTGACAGTCCATATGTAACCAAATATTATGGATCCTATCTGAAGGTAAGACTTAAAAATAAAAACACGATTTTCCATGATGCAGCACTTGCCTGAGACGGAGCAGTGTGTGTGAAGGACTTCAATAAATAGCACAGCGGGTTTCCAGAGGAAGGAGAAATGTTTCGACCTTTGCAATCAAAAGAACTGGGCTTGGATAATTTTATCTTAAATGTCACTATGGAAATATATTTTTGGTAGAAGTGTTTGATACTGAAATTGCCTTTCCAACAAAACAGTATTTCCAAGAGGACTTTGTCATCAAAATGCATTTCTTATTACATTATTATAATGATGACTGTTAAACACCTAATTTTAGCATGGCTTATGACAACTCTTGCCAACCTGAGAATATTAGTCTTTTGATATTTTGGTTATCAAATATAGTTTGATTTATTGCTGTTTTAAAGAATTGATAATGTTGCTTAGTGAGCAGTTTATCTACATTTGACTTTTAAGGATTCTAGGTAAATCAATACTTAAAATAGTTATTATAATACAACACGTTACAATGTCCTTGATCTTCACCAGTTCTCTAAGTGGAAAAGAACAGTAATAAAACTGTTCTTTTCAGGCTTGCATGGAACCACTTTAGATGTTGCAGGGTAAAAATCATTTCATACCACTAAGAAAGTTCAAGACTATTCCTGTGTCCCAAGTTCCTTGACATATGCTTGTTTTACTGAACTTAGAAATGTAGTATCTTTCAAAATGGGGTTTTGGAAATCTTAAGAACTGGTGAAAAGAAGTTATGAACTAATTTTTGTGGAAACTAAAACTGCATAGGTAGAAAGAATACTTCCAGAGGAGGCAGCAACACGTCCCAATAATGGAAGACTAGCCGCCTCCTGTCCTAGCTTTATCCTCTTAAATTCTCTATGTTGCCGTCTGCAACTTCCTATCTTGTCAGAGAAATAGTTCAGGCTTTCATTTTTGTGGAAATGTGATAATAAGGCATAAGTGGAAGAGTGAGCATTTTGAGAATCATTGACTCACTAAAATGAATATGTAAAGCAAGTCAAATTGAGTGGTAATGCTATTTTTTTTTTTCTTCATAGCTTAAAGGCTGATAATATGTCATAGGGTTAAGTGAACCATTTTGAAATGGAAAGGATTCGTTTTGAAGTCAGATGTCATCGACATGGGTCTTGCTTGTCTGGGTGTGTGGCCTTGAACAAGTTTTTTATTTTAAATAACTTTTCTGTTTCCTCATTTGTAAAATGGGAAACAATGGAATATACCTCATCGTTGCAAAGATGAAATGGAATTGCATGAAAGTATCTGACATATAGTAGCTACTTAATAAGTGTTATTTTCCTTGATTGATTGATTGATTTTATTCATACCTTATCTCTGAAATTACCTTGTAATGAAGGAGGTACCAACTGAGGTCAAAGCAAAGAGGAGGAAGTGTGCAATATCGGTGGATGTTGCTGTGGGGGTGCATTCACTTTGGGACTTAACAGGGCAAAAAAGGGAGTACGTGACTTCCATATAGGAAAGCAAAGGTTTTTTGATGTTGAATTTCTATTGAGAAAAAGCAAACATCTAAAGAAACCCAACTTGAACTCTCTATTGTACCTTACTGTCCTTTGTGAAATGACTTCAATAATAGTTTCATGATAAATTCAGAGTTGGGTTTCATCTGGCATTCTAATGTGTTTTAATATGAATTATGGTACCTTTGGCAAAGGATGTGTGGAAGATGCTCACAACTTTCAGGTGATTTATACCATCTAATATTCAACTATGGAATTAAGGATCAAGTGGTTCAAAAGTATATTCTTCAACCTCAGTTGCTCAGCAGAATTTTTATTGCATTTGGGAATAAATTGCTTTATTGTAGTCAAATATGCTGTTACCTTGACTATATATACTGAGAGATTCTTCCCCTGGTAAGTCCTATAATTGCCTGAGTCACTAATTCTAGAACATACAGTTCAAGTCAACCTAACCTTGATCTAGAGATGCCCAGTGAATTTATTTAATCAACATAATGCCGGCTGCTAGAATAACCTCCTAAATGTATTATGGCTCAAATGTGATAGATGCTTATTTCTTACTCACTGGTAGTCCTACTTTGTGGGCAGTTTTTCTCCAAACCAGCAGTTGCCAACTGGTGGTCTGTAGGCCACTGGTGGTCCATGAGGTCCGAAAGGTTGGCGACTGCTGCTCCAAACAGTGATTGAGAACTCAAGTTGCTTCTACCTTGTTCCCTTCTTGCATTTGTGGGGTTGCCTGCTTTAAGTCTCATGGGGGCAAAAAATGGAGGCTCCTGTGGGGAGTTTTCATGTGCCTAGGCCTAGACATAGAGCACATTTTTTCTTTCTGCCCACATTGCCCTGGCCAGAAAACCCAGTCACAGGACCACACCTAATGTAGGCACGGCTGGGAAAGGTCATCTAATTGTGTGCTTCATGGAAGAGGAAATGGGCTTGGTGCTCAGCTAGCCATTTCCAAAATCACTTACTATGTTGACTCTCCACGCAGGATAAGAAGCTTTGATAATTTTGTCTACCATGTCTAGTATATTTTACTAGGCAGATTGTTGTTTAGAAAATAACTGCCTCAGGAATGCCAGGAATAGTATCACAATTTCTTAAATCGTGTAAAGATGATTCTGTCTCACTTGACTAAAAATATCATGAACTGCTCTTGTTAAACCATAGTAACTATCATAAGTTGGACAGGATGAAAATCCAAGATCTGTGATTGTATCTGCCCAATCTTGTAGAATAGAGTTTCATTAATTTCTTTGGCCCAGAGGAAGGCCCTCAGTGATGATCCAGAGGCTGTTTTTCCGTCCTCTTGTTAGGCTAATGAAGTTTAAATTAGTATAGTCCTGTCAAGGTAAAAATTAAGTTGATGTGTGAGACAAATGGGTCTTTGACACAAAGTTGAAAAAAATTGTGGTTTATATGATTGATTTCCCTTTAAAAACAAAACAAAACAAACAAACAAACAAAAAAAAAAACAAGACACACACACACACACACACACACACAAACACACACACACAAAGAAATCAACCCATAGTGTTGTCAGAGGTAATATTCTTAGGTTTTTTTAAGTAGTTATGGGAGAGAGGGCTTTAGGATTTCACTTAGTGTTAAGGGGCTTTACATTTTCATAAAGCAAGATTGGCCAAAGAGGAAGTTAGCAGAAAATGGTTTCTTTATTACTGGGTTAGTATTAAAAGTTCTCATAATGGTGTTTTGGTTTTAATTATCTAGTCTAAGAAAAGAGATGAAAAACAATAGATAAGTGGTCATCTTTGTTGTAGTATGAATATTAAGGGGACATGGCCATGGAGTGAGTGGTGGTTTAATAGTGGGTTCAGATCCCTGACTTAGAGTAAAATTTTCCTCGGTTCCTAAAAATTTCTAGGGTAGTTTCACCCATTGGACTCACTAGAAAAATGATATGAAAAAGTCCCTCGATGAGTTTTAGAAAACAAAGCCCTCTATGTACTCGGTATATGTATATGTATAGGTATATGTATAGGTATATGTACTCGGACATATTTTTTTTAAAGTGATATTCTTTTGACTTGTCATTAGAGTAGTATTAATGAATGAAAAAGCAAGAAAGCTGCTAATAGCTTTTTTTTTTTTCCCTTTCTTCATTTTAAACATCATATGTCACTCATAGTGCTAAAAGCAGAGATCTTCCCACTATAGCCTCTGAGCTTAGGGCTAACTGCATAGCCAATAAAATGGCCCTTTTTTATTTCATTAAATTAAACAAGGAGAGTTAAGCTTGTTTTGATATTTTTTGATTTATGGCACCATCATCATTGATCTATTTGATCCATTTTATTATTTCATCCTTCATCCCCACTGTACTGCTCTTTTGTACCACAAGTTGTGATGTGTCTTAGGACAGCTTCCTTCTTTCTTTATAGGCTTTACCAGTGGGCAGGTAAAGGGTCACTTTTTCCTGGAAGTATTTGCTTGTTTAGGTACCGCAAACCTTTCTCAGAAGCCTCCCCAGACCACTTTCCTCATATTTCATTCATCAGAACTGAGTCACAGGCTGATGCCTCAATCAGCCCCTGGCTGTGGGATGGGGCCACCTCATTGGTTCCCCCAAACAGAATTTACCTCTGGAACTGGAAGAAGGGTCACTAGAGCTTCCCCAGAGTCATAGAGTCTGGGGAGAGAGATCTGGGGAGGTGGTGGATCAACCAGCAACGCCTCTGACAAGTTGTTCTGGTGGGTCCTGCCCTTGATGTGCCCATTTTTTGACCATCTGCTCTGTGCCACCACCGTTCTGAGAAGTTTGGCATCTGCTTACATGTGAGCCCTCCCTATGGGAATGGCCAGTGGGGGTCCACTGGGAAGCCTGAGCATTTCACCCAGACAATGGGTCTGCAGGGTCTTAGCCCAGGATCACCATTGCACACTTGCCTTGAATCCTAGTCTGTTAAATATCATTTTCAAAAGAACATATTGTTCTAGTGTTGAATTTTTATTTACTGCCTCCTTATTTCTTGGGTAGTTTAACAGGAAATTTTTGCCTAGCATGAATAAATGGTTTTATTTAATCCTCAATACATAGATTATGTTCACCTCTGTAGCTCATATGTCTTAAGTGAATGGATTTGGATTTGTTCCAGTAACTGTGGCCCACTTTGACATGGATCCAGAAGCCTAGCCAATCTATAAAAAAAAAAAAAAAATCAAATCTTTCCTATGTTGCTGGGAAATTGGAAATGGAGAGCTGCTTCAGCTGCCAGGGCTGGTTGTCACATCAAGCCCATGCAGAGTGTCCTTGTCTCTCAAACTCCTTTGCCTACACCCGGTGTCTGCCAAGAATCCCATTTTGGTTTAGTGGTCCTGCAGCTTTCTTTGCCTGCGCGTCCTTCCTTGCTCTTTGCCTGTGGATGGTTCTGTAGTGGTCCATAAAACAGTCCAGTGACTTATTCACACACTTGCTTTCTGCAGAAATGAGTTTTTACTGACAGCTGTGCTTGTTTATTCTTCATCTTTAATATTCTAGGGTAG